ATATGATCGCAGCGAATGTGTATACCATGTTTAAGGTAATAAAATCACCGTGAGAAATAGCAGAAATTCTGCTCTTTCGATTGGTACAAATTTTAACAAAAACTAATGCAGGGTCATAAAAATATGATGTGGCAAACGTCAAACGTGGCAGTAATTTGGGACGGAGTGGTACATCACTACATCAGCAAAATTTACATTTTTCAGACCCACACCGGTTGCCAAGAAAATTTACATCATGATGTAAACATAAACATAGATTTCTCAACAGATCTGTTGGGTCGTTTACAGTTCTATGCGATTGAGGTCCCAATGGACTACTCCCGACGTCCTGGAGCACACCGGCAGCATGATTATGAATCTTACAGACAATAGAATGTATGCCAACACTGCCGCACTAAATTCTCGACTGGCGAGAGCTCCAAAACCTCAATCGCCCGCAGCGGGCGTCCTCGCGAGTTTGCTCCCAACCGGTGTGGTTTGGCGGTGAAGTGATGTACTACTTACTACTGTTACAGCACGCACCCAATAAACGGATCTTTTCAGCTCTATGTTTACATCAGGCGGTGGGGATGCTCTAAGTGCTGTAGTGCTTAGGAAGCATACATTGTACAGTACACGTAAATGTACAAGGGGGACGACCGATACAATTGAGTCGGTGTTCCAATGCAATGATGGTATTGTCGTTTTCCCCAAAATTTGGACTTTGGTTCTGAATCGCCAAATCTATCGATCGATTGTTTAGTTTGTTGTACTAACGGTAGTATGTCAAAAGGTGTGTCCTGTTGTGATTTGTATCACACTAATTGAAGTCACACTCTATTCATCTATTTTTGAGTGTGTTTGATTGGCTCTTACAGAAAGGACAAGTATATTCAACCAATCAAAACTCCAGCGTGATTCAAGATTGATTAGACAAATCGCGCGAATTTTGCAAGTTTATACCGAAATATATATATTGTTACGATCTCCACCACCGACGCTTCGCAGCAGCACTATACCAATACCCGCCCACCACAGACAGCAACACAAGGCCGGCGGCAGTCACTTTCCACTTGGAACCAGCATACCACGTCCGCAGGTGACGAGAGGATAGACTTAGCACTAGCAGGAGCGCCATCCATTTGATCAGGCGCGAATCTGCCGCGGGTACAGGCGGCGGCATCGATGTGTCCACACTGCGCCCGCTTTGGTCTTCTTCGAGGACGGGGGCTCTACACATCACCAGGTTTATACTGTGATACGTAGCACAGCTGGACACCAAAAACGATGGAATATGGCATGTTAAACATGATTATGCATGCTTCACATGGGTAAGTACTCAAACGAGAGACAGTAAATAGGCAAGAGGGGTTGAATATACAAGCCTCGTAGCCGCAACGCTTTTGCAGACGGTTTGCGCGCCAAGATGGGACAAGACGATATCGGCTGGTCCAGCTGCGACGACGTGTTGTATGTGACATGGGGCGCGTGGTGCAGCACGTGTTTAGCCAGGATGGACTGCATGTCCCCCACAGACCGATACCTGGACGTCTACCAGTTTGATTGAGCCAAATATATCGACAGTCTTATATAATATATCGACAGTCTTATAACAGTCTTATGTACCTTGGTGAGAGCCGCGCGGACACTGGCGAGGACACTCACGACTTGGACGTGATCTGAGACAAAGTACTGCGCTTGCGATGACTTGTGGCCCACGGTGCATGTCAGCACTGCCACGTCATGATTAAGTCCCAGTCAGGTAGGATTGATAAGACGCACACATGTAACGATAGTTTTATTATATGACCTAACTTGAACGCAAAAAGTAATAAAATAAAGCGATACGGAAATCAACGGGGGATGACTATCGATACTTCGAAGTAGTATATAAAAATCGACACGAATAGGTTGTCCGAATGTCATAAATATCGTAAAAAGACAAAACGTGTGGTGGATCTACACATAATGGTATATTGTCAAAACCAACCTATCCTATATATAAAACCCAAATAAAGAGACCCACATCACTTCGAAACGGGTCAAACGGGGCTACACTTTCCGTGGAAATATATATATATATATATTGTTGTGCTTATTCTAAACTCGAATGAGATGGTGAATGCATCTACACAACCAAATAAAGTCCAGAAGAAGAATCATCGGCAGAAGGATTTAGCCAATCAGATTGCAGGAAACCGTCAACAAAGCCAAATTAGTGTGTGACTTCAATTAGTGTGATACAACAAATCACCACACTTTTGAAATACAACATTCAGTTATAAAAATTCGATCGATCGATCGATTTTTGGCGTATTTAGTGCAAAAAAAAGCCCAAATTTTGGGTAAAACGGCAATATATATTAATCGAACTGTATGGATCGTACCATGAGCAATGTTAAAAGCGTGGCCGCAGTCGTGAGCCGCGTCAAACATGAGTTCGTCAGCAACGTCGTCGCCCATGGTCCACACAAAGTCGATGGCCCCGTGGTGCGACGACGACGCCGGGTGCTCGTCACTTTTTATCGAATCCATATGGAGTTTGTGTAGAATTTGCTTGACAATTTTGCCCTTCCCGAGGCCTTCCGGGCGCACTTCAATGTAATCTTTGCCTTGGATCACACTCAGCGGCCATCCCTACTCAAGTCATACTTATATATTGTGCTTTTCAGTCAAATTTGCCTATTTTGGGGGATTGTTGAAATCGCCAACTAATCGAGAAAAGGGGTATGATTGGCTGTTACAAAAAATGAAGGTTGTTGCAATATGATTGGCTAAAAAGATTGATTGATGCATTGCAGTCACAAAAAATACCCCTTCAACTTTGTTTTATATGAAATTTCGCAGGTCCTGCGATTGTTTGGCGGTGTTCATTCCACCAACCACCGGAGGAGGAAATCATGAGTACAACACACTAACTACAGTACATAATACAATATATGCATACTAATGTCTTACGTCGAACGCAGCCGTGAGCTGATGCAACAGCTCCCGCGCCTGCAAAAGTCCAAACCCGTAGTCGGCACTGGCATATCGGAACAAGATGGAGCTGCGGCGCATTTCCAAGGCGGCGCCGTTGGTGCGATCGACGTACATCAACATGATGGCTTCAGCCTTTTCACGCCATTTGCCACACGACGCATTCACGCGAAACACGTCGCCGTACAGTTCCCACGGTCTAGTTCACCGAATTACAGTCTATATATATATACTAAGTGGAAGCAAGTAAATACTAATATACACGAAAACAAGAAGCATGTTGTTGCTGTATAGGGGCATTGAAATTGGCCAATGGCGATCGATCGACCAATCAAAACTCACAACACAAATCAATGCCCAATCAAACAAAATTCTCGCTTCAACCATTCAACATAAAATTAGTGTATGACTTGTATTAGTGTAACTCGGGAGTCTTTTTTCACATACAATAATCCGTACAAAGAATCGTTGAATGGATTTGGTGAACCAGGATATCTCTATGCATCAAAACTTCAATATCTTTCTCAATATATATATATATAAAAATAATAGAAATAAATGCGCAATTCCATCATCGTGGTTCCAATGCATGAAAACGTGAAGTATAAGTCAATATACTATATCTTCTTTAAATATATATACTTCTACGTAGTACGCAACTCCATATGACGCGGTATTTACATGACGTCGCACGTACTTGTTGATGCGCGCCGCGCGGCCGAGCATCGCCCATCGGATAAAGTACCCATGCTCTGCCACGAGCCCCAGTCCCGGGACGGACCCGAATTTGTCGCTCAAGAGCTCGCAATTGCACCCGCTCACGACAAACACCTGGACGTCGCGTCGTCATTTGAGTTGTGGAGTGGAGGACGTACCGTGTTGCGCGGGTCCCGGCACAGCTGCTCCAAGCTCGACAGGACGTCCACGGGTACGTCCGGCCAGACGATCCCGAAATCAGACGACACGTCCGGAGCCAACGTGCGGTAGTAGTCAAAGAAGAAGATGCGGCGACCGCGGCTCTTGTAGTACAGGTCCAGCAGGTGCTCGACCGTGAGCGGCTTGGTGAGCACGTCCAGCTTCTTGGGGGGTGCCGACGCCGCGGCGGCGATGTCGGAGAGGATCGTGGCAGCCCATCGGGTCGGTGTGTGGGAAGCGATGGAGAGGACGTCGCAGTCGCGGCGGAATTCCTTCTCCTTCAACGACATGTGCACTGTAGCCTCCATGGCGGTCGCAATCTAATTGAAGGTGAAGTTGGATCTGACCAATCAAATGGCACATCATTCTAAATTCAGCCAATCCATGACGAGGAAATAGAAATCCACTAACCAATCACACGACAGCATTTCTAAAGTACCCACCGAGTGAATGTTCCACGGGTTGACGATGGTCGCGCCGTGGAGGATGCGGCGCGCGACGGCGAATTGGCTGAGGATCGCCAGACCCGTGGCATTGCTACATGGACACACATCATCATGAGCAACGTGTGAACGCATGAGCGACGTCCTTGCCGATGGGTGACGAGGTACTCGAACGGACACGTGTTCAACCCTTCCGCGAACACGGTCGACACAAACACCTCGGCCACGCGCCACAGCGCAATGCGGTCGACCGTCGGCATGCGATCGTTTCTCACGTCAAACACGATCACGGGGGTGGGGTACTGCGCATTGATGTCGTCGACGAGGCGGCGGACTTCCTACACGAGTCTACTCCATCAACTTGGTTCGATACCCATCTCTCTTTCTCTCGTGTTATCCTAACCTGAGCATGCTGTGTAGATCCAAGGGTGGATGTCACCACACCCACTTGCACAAGGAGCACACGAGATGCATATTCCGGGCGTTTCTTCAGAAACTACAACGCAATCTTGAGGTCGCTCGACCAAAGTCTCATACTTGGTGGAAGGCGACGACTTTGTGCGGAATCCCATGCAACTCGTCCACGACGTCCACGGCGGCAAAGATCAGTTTATGCAGTTGGCGCCATCGAATGATCTCGTCGCGGACGCTATCGTTGGACGCCAGGTCTCTCTCCACCTACCACGACGAGAATCTGCCACGTCATGCATCGCAATGTATCGCAATATGGACAGCAAACCCTCGCGGCATCCACCGTCAACTGGGCACACGTTATGTGGACTTGTTTGCCATTGTGGTGCACCACCAGTTGGCCTTGTATCATGCTTGGTGGCGGCGTACGGATCAGCGCTTCGCATGCGTCCAAAAAATGTCGAGCGTGTCTGATAGATTGGAATGGTTCAAAAACAAGAGAAAGAATATATATCCAAATATATCGAACTGGATGTCGGCCAATCATGGACGAGAGTGCACCAAATCGGCAGATAATCGATCGACCAATCAAAAACCAGAACGCTGATCAAGTAGCCAATCAAATCCACTCGTCGACGAATTCAATTAGTGTGTGACTTAATTTAGTCGTATTTGTTTACATACAAATATCAGGAACAAAGAATGGATCGATAGATTTGGCAAAGAATCAGCACAAAAGTCCAATTTTTTTGGGTAAAAGGACAATAATTGTTCAAGAATGTATGTCGTGTTTTCGTACTCGTAAATGTGAAACCCGACGTGGTGCACCGTGAGCATGCTTCGAAGGATGTCGCGGTCATGAGAAAGCGTCGACAAAACCGACTTGGAGGGAAACGGTACGTGGATGAAGAGTCCGACGGTGGATGGGACCGTCATGGGACGGACGAGTCGAGCGAGGAAGTGCGGGACCATCACCAAGTCAAAGTCCTGCAGCCACAGAATGTCCCCTGTTGCATATGCCTTGGAGATGGCGACGGCAAAGTCTTTGTTCATGGCTAGGAACGCCGGCCACGGATCCGCATTCTCCTGGACCTACGTTCGTGTCGAGAAGAGGTTGCCATGTGGGTGTTGCCTTCGAATAACAAATGGACGTGTACATGGGAAGGGGGGTTCAATGTCGATGGATGCACCATGTTGTGAAACACAGCGCGCAACGGTCCACTGCAAAATGCGTCGTACGTTGCGACATCTGTCTCTGCGCTGGGAAAGACTGGGATGCAGCTGATCGCGGCACAAGCCTACGCATGAAGTCGGAGTCGTGGTCGATTCATGTGTCCGGGAGAAGTGTTCGAGCCACAAAAAATGACAATCAGACAACATCGACGGGGTGATGATCATGTAGGATACCTCGTTCACAGCAGGTTGGTCTTGGAGTGACACCTCCAGCTCGACCCGACCGAGGAATCGAACTTTTCGCCGACTCGGTCGAAACAGATCGCGATGCGAAAACGCCATGGTGGATGCCAGCAGGCGGTCCCCGCGCCACGTTGCCGCGTACTTGCCATCTTCTCTTCGCTCGAGCAGCACTGGCAAATGGTTGGACGCGACCAGCACTGGCAGCTGCGACGGATGATGCACCATGCTCATGATTGCAGTTCCAAGATCGGATGTATCCGTACGAATTCCGGATACAGTTTTCCGTAGTAATAGTATTATGCGACATGGGTATGTTTTGACCAAATCCCAACGCCCAAATGTAACCGCCAACCTGTTTTTAGGTAAGATCGAGTCGTTTCACCCCCGCACTCGTCAACGAACATCCAACTACGGCGGCAATCGAGCATGAAAGAGGGATGCTTGCGGTGCTGCTCAGGGCTATCTGCGGTGGGGATGATCTACCTTTCCCTCATGTCCATCATACTGAGCAAACAGCCACAGTACATTCGTGGGTTGCATCATCACGACAACCATGACTTGCACTCGAGCTGCGCTGTTGCGGCCGTGCTCTACGCCGTGTGCTTTGGAGGGTGCATGTATGCGCTGCGAGTGCACAACGAGTCCAAGCACTTGCGCTACGGCGTCAAGGTCGTGTCCTCGAGCGACGAGTGCGATCCGTTGAAGAAGGACGAAGACGAAGGCGCGGACTTGAAAGTACGCGGAGCGGTAAGCGCTGGAGTCATCTCCGCCATCAAGACCCAACTCATGCACGCCAAGGTTATGCACAGCGATGAAATGCACAGTTTAATCCAGAGCGACGGCAGCTCCAGCCCACGCAAGCCCAAACCACGAAAGGGCGACTAACGCGCTCATTTTTAACCACCCTTTTCTCATAAATTCCACACCAGTCTCTTCATTTATATGCGTCCAAGTCACTCCAGCCCCGATGCATGATTTTACTCAAGTGCGCTTGTTCATGCAGCACAGTGCATATACCAACTGACTTCGACGTCAAAATCCAGGCGTTGCGGGATTTTCCCTGCTTTGCCGGTATCCGGATCTCAATGCGACCTTTCAAGATATACACCATTCTCTTCCTCCGACAAATCCAAGCAGAGACATGCCGGATCCAGCCAAAGCCGACGCGGTAGGGGGCGAGCTGTCGGAGGCAGAATACCGCAAGATCTCATCACGTCCGCACATGAAGTTTAACGACATGACGTCCGAAGTTTGTACGGAAACCATCGAAATCATCACGATGGCCGTGGACAAGCACGTGCCGCTCAAGAACTACGAGGCGGCGGCACAGCTGATCAAGCAAAGCATGGACAAGAAATTCGGGTCGTTCTGGCACTGCTTCATAGGCGAAGGGTATGGCTTCGACATCAGTTACCAGCAGCGACACATGTTGTATATGTACGTGGGCGAAATCGGGATCTTAGTGTACAAGTGTTGAGTCCTTACTGGAAGCCGGCCAGCCACCATCCGTCGATCACAGTCGAAACACGATATCTACAGTAAGGTTAATCGTGCGTTTGCATTTGTCAGTGTTTTGCGGTGTACGACGATACCGATAACGTTACTACGATGTGCTGCCTGCACTACAGTCAGTACTTTAGGTACATGCATTACAATGGAAACGGCAACTCTTGGAAGGCCCGTAACTTCACAGAGTCTCCGCGACCACTTGGTCAACGCAGGTTGAGCTATCCACACTAGCAATTATTCTCAAAACATGAATATTGGAACGATAAAGTAGAAAAAACACGATATGTTCAACAGAAGTATATAAAGGTTCGTCCTGGTCTCAGTAGCCATTACACTGATAGACCAGCATGGCATTTGTCGTTGGTGAGTTTATCTGTAACATAAGAACGATATGTTTCAACGAATCGAAGCACGGTAACGTACGCAAATGGAGCCGACCTCGAATTCAAATTGGACCAACGAAAATTGACAGGTCGAGTACTCGGTAGTACGTGCAGGAATATAAAGGCACAATTAGTCAAAAGGAATTAAGGCACCATTATGTTTGAATTCCGTTGGCAGGTTTGGTGTTGTGTCGCACTCCGCCAATTGCAACGTTGTCATCTTGGTCTTCGTCGTCGCCTTCGTGTCCATCCAAACGCGGAGGCATGCCCAAGTCTTCCCATGACGAAATTGCACGTCGGAGTTCTTGCAGATCGTACGACTTCTTCTTCAAACTGGATTCCTGTCGACCTTGGACCTTTAACGCAGCAAGGCAAATAAGCCATGTCGTGGCATAGATTGCAGCACCGACCCAGCAATTCGTCGCCAGCTTTGCGGCCGGCGTGGCATGGGTCAATCCACGAATGTATTCGGGCTGGAGTTGGAGGATTCCTCCCAGGGACGAGAGAAATACAACGCCAGCTAAGGACACGTGTGCACAGCACTCAGTTCTCATGGTAGCAGCAAGCAGTTTCAGCTTTTGGTGAAACATACATTCGGAGTAAAAAGTGTTCACCTATACTTATATACCAGTCTACGTAGTAGTATTGGACTCTTTACGAATTACTAGTATTTACTAACTCCTCTATGAATTAATATTCAATTTCATGGGTTTAATAACCTACACTCTAACGTTAACGTTAAGCAAAAACTAGCGTTAACGTTAAGCAAAAACTAGTACTGTAATGTTAAGCCTCAGAGTGCACAACCGGTGCACCCAGCACACTAGCTGCCGCAACTTGCCGACCATGACATTCCTCACTGCTGAGATCATCAATTGATAAAAGCAAGAATAATTAACGTTATACCGAATATGTTCCATGGCGTACAGCTCATGGATGCTGACTGTGATCGTGAACTCATCGCAGCGTCGTCCGAAGGCGGCTCTCCGCCATCTATTCAGCAATCACACTCCCTGCAACTTCTTCGGCAAACTAGCGACAATTGGAGCAGCGGCTGCCACGTTGCCAGACCGCGACGAGGTTAGTCCATCATGTATGCCACGGCTGCCGAGTCCAACTCGCGTCGATAATGGAAGCCGCAGCAGGTGATACTGAGTCCGCCCATTCTGCCACGTCTACGACTTGAGATTCGGTCCTTTGTCGAGCGTCTACTGCAGCGTCGATCACTTTGCTCTCGGC